GTCAATCATACTCTGCCTGTGTTTCAGTATAGAGGTGCCCTGAATACTATTCGCAGCCTCGTCCGGTAAAAACAGTGTCGGCCTGTCGCGATGACTTAAGCTATTTAGTCGCACGTCTCGCGGAATGATAGGACCAAATCCGTTCGTCGGGGCTGTCTCCAAATCTTCGTCGTGTGGAGTAGGCCCTTCGACTTCATCATCTGACATGGTATATTTGCTTGGAGCCCAAGCAATGATGAAAACTCCCGCGAATGTGGCGGCACAGCCGTATAAGAATGTGACGATTTGATGGAAGGTCGCGCGTTGGAAGTCGCCGTAGAGGATGGCCGACCCCACAATAGCTGAGAGGTTAAACATGACAAATTGGGTGGGTACAACGATCTGTGACAGTTTCGAGAGTTAATGAGCGACACTGATCAAAATGAATCCGGCTCACCTTGCTATCGAAGCGCATTAAAGCACGATTTAAGTAACGAATCTGACCAATGCCAGTCCCTAAAAGTACCTGAAGCATAGATGAGCACAGTAAGAGTACTAAAAGGGCGCAGAACGTACAGCAATAATAGGGTATGTAATCCATTCTGTAAAAATTTCAAACCATTCTTTCGTAAGTAGCGTAGATATTGCCTTGGTAGACAATACTGTAAATCCGCCTATAAACCAGCTTAGTTCGTTTGGGGTGGAATAAAAATCTAATAATCCAACTCACCAAAAATGGCGCACAACCCAATGTCAACGAAGACATGCTTTGTGCCTATACTGCTCTCTGATAGGCTTGACAGTACGAGGGCAGCAGCGATATAGATAAGGGAGAATACAATGAAGACCTTCTGTGAGATGGCGCGCAAGAGGGTGGCGGGGTCTAATCGAGTATCCGACGGATTTGCGGATAGAACGACTGTCACTGCTCCTACAATGGCGATGATGATCCCGAAAATGTCCCTCTAGCGTGAAAATATTAACGAGGGCCTCGTATGCCGGGGAGGAGAAGAAATATACCTTGCGGAACTTCTCTTTGAGCATTACAGGAGCGAATACGCAATTCGCAACCAGAGCGAACTGGCGAAAAATCAACATCGGTTATTCGTTTGGCATATTAATGAAACACATACAGTGCCCAAAGGTGCGACTACAGAGGCTGGGGCAAATGCATACGAGATGAAATTTCCCATCTCTCCAATGTTCATGAGAGTAAAACCGAACCACCTAGATGTTAAATGTCCACGGTTTAATTCTAACCAACGATTGTCGGGGCATAAAGTAAATACAGAACTCACCAGAGCTTGGACCTCAGATAATCGCTCTCATTCCCATCCTCGCTATCTCGTCCGGCTTGCGAGGCCTCTCGTATTGACGCGCTAGAAGGCTCATCAACAACTACATCGACGGGTGTTAGAGAATGGTTGTATCCTTCGAGAGAATCTCTTCGTTTGTTCCATGAAAATAGTCTCCTAAACAAAGGAACCCGCCGAGTGGTTATGGCATCGGAATGCGAGCGAGGAAGAAGAGGCTGGCTTTCTGATTGTTCTTCTAGTCCATGAAATGAGGAAACGTGCCGTAATGGTAGTCCAGTGGGTGTAAGCTCGCCATCCTCTTCCTGTTCGTCAAATTCGTGCGCGGTATCTTGCCTATTTCCGTTGATGCCATTGCTTCTCCGATTAGTGTCCTTGCCGATATTCTTTGCCCTCTGGAGTTCGCGCTCCCGTTCGAGACGTCTGTGAGCTAGCTTCTGGCAGTTGAGAGCGAGAGAGATGAGTATGTTTCCTATGATTGCGACCGATATGCCTGCGACAGTTGCGGGACTGAACTGCGGCAAACCGGGAAGAGCAATCTCGTCCAACAATCTCCTCAGCCAGGTGCTGATATTGGGTTCGGAGGCGTGCATGTCGTCTGGAGTGTCGAGGACAGAAGAAAGTAAGAAGGATATCATGGCGACATGGCACTCTGTGGCAGCTGGTGTCTGCATTCACCAGTGGTGCACCAACGCCTCGACGAACCCGGTCACGAAAGGGCCGAGCAAGCGATTACTCTGAAACTCAATCGAAACATCGGGCGCTCCATTTCACGTCAAATATTCTCACGCATCACGTGCGTCGTGTCGTGTAGACGTGCCACGGGCGGGCCGTCGCTGCCCACCTCTCTTGGGGGAAACAACCCGGCTTGCACTCGACTATCATCGCCCCGACAACTACTTTACAGGTCGCTCAGGCAAACCATACACACATACGCACCCTGGGCGATATCTGAACTCCTTCACCATGCGTGTTCAGCATACAGCTTTTCCTTTACCAAATTTCCCTGTCTATTCGTCTGCTTTTGTGTCCGATGACGAACTGGTAATCGGTGGTGGAGGAGGACAGTCGAAGAGTGGGATCAAGAACAAGCTCGTACGTCCGTCATTATTTATGAATGAGCTTGGATAATGATACTTTACTGTCCGTAGAGATTATACAAAGTCCAGTCTGGTTCCATAATGACCCAACTCGATGAACTCGAGCTCGAAAAGGGCGAGGACGCTCCAATGTCCATGACAGCTATTCCAGAGACAAAGACTATCGTCTGTGGAATTAACAGCGCAGAGGACGGGTTAAAGGATGGGTTGAACCAAAATTGCCGCACGTATACCATTGAGGCTGATAAGTACGTCCCCGTCGTAAATCTTTCCTTTAACCCCACTAAACATTGTTATTACTGCTTCACTTTCTAGAATCTCATTTCAGGCTAGCACTAGCACCTTGAAGCCGGACTCTGTCAACGACGATTATCAGGTTTGCACTGGCATGTGTAATGTGCCCAATACCCAGCTCAAATCCCATGTAGAAAGTCACAATCCTCTCTCCCGACCACAAATTTCTTGCTATTGCAGGCACAAAAGACGTACGCTCGCTATTATATGTTAATTCAAATCAGCGACTAAATTTCATTGCAGCTGTCATTGCTAGAATATCCTTCTCTTAAACTCGCTGCGAACCCAATCACGATAGAGAAGGGTGAGATATATGATGCAACATTCTCAGAAACAACTGTATGGGAACACTCACGGTTCACTGCTCAGCATCACTAACCTTTGGGTACAGCTGGTTGTAGCTACCACGATCAACCTTCTAGTTTATACGCTACCTGCGCTGGATGCAACTCTTGCCAGCAAAAAGGCTGGGAAGAAGAAGGAGATGCCAGTCCTGGAATTGGAGCTATACAAGACGATAGACCGACCTGATTTACCGGGAGTCGACGGCGGAAGCAGCTTCCGTGCAGTTCGCTATCACCCTCAAGATTCCAAAGTATTATATACGGTCCTTAACACTGTACCTCCTCGCAGTCAGAAGAAGAATGCACCAAGGCGAGCATTCATCTGTAAATGGAACGCCGAGAAGTGGGTCGTGACACGACCGCGGAAGGTATCTGACCGTGGGCTTACATGTTTCGATGTGAGGTATGTAGTGACTGGACTTTTGTTGCTACGAGCTGCCTTTGATGTCCTGCGTACAGTGCCGATGGGAAGTTTGTTGCGTACGGGTCATCGGATTACTCAGTCGGGGTATTAGATGGAAAAACATTAGCAGTGAGCTCTCTACGTCTAAAAGGCTATGCTCAAACTCACCCCCACCTAGCCTTTATTAACCATACTCAAAACGCACGAGTTCCCTCCCACTACTCTGAAATTCAATCCATCTGCCAGTCTCCTTGTTTCAGGTAGCGCGGACAACTCTGTTAGACTGATCTCAGTACCAGATAATTTAACCGCGGCATGTGAGTATCGAACTTTTGACGTAGTAATGTTTCCCTGACATGGTCCGTGTTCACAGCCTGGAGTACATGGATCGTTGTCCTTGTTACACTGCTTATCATCATATTTGCTATCATTGCTGGGCAAATGCAGCATGCGTATTAAATCCCTTTATCGTTCCAATCCATGCACTTAGACATTTAGACATGCCCAACCAATGAATTTTGAGGTTGAATCTATTGTACACTATTAAGCAGCATATTATACATAACTGATATCCTGGGCCCCTATCCAATTGTCTTCGTTAGTCATAATCATCCTCCTCGACCAGTTTCCTCTTGGCACCGTTCATTGCGTCTAGTGCTGGGGCAGTAATCGACACATCCATAGGCTCGTCTCCACTCTCTTCCTCCTCGTCCCCGCCCGAAAATAGTCCACCGTCTTCGCCTTCACTAGCCTCTTCAGGCGCACCTATTCCAGGTGTCATCATATCTACGTCCGATGGCGTGTGTAACGCACCCATGGGTGGTGGTACAGATGGCTGTTGCGACATTTGCTGGGACGCATCAGGAATAGTAGCAGGTTCCATGTCCCCATCTTCATCGTCAGACTCTTCGACTTCTTCGATCTCCTCGTCGTACAGTTTCACGCCTGGTGGTGGCTTGTTTGGCACAAGATCAAAGTCGACGGACGTAAGACATTCGGAAGCTGGCGGGAGGCGTACACCAAACACCTCGGGTACGGAAGGTAAAGGTTGTGAGTTAACTTGTTGCGCAAGTGAAAGCATATACTGTTCAAATTACAACGACCGTGTTCAGAGTCGACAAAGGAATACAATATTGACAGAAGTCATACCTCCTTAGGTATTCGGCCACCAAACTCCCATCCTACTCGGGCCTGTACGGCCAGTACAACATCGTCCATCTCGAGCTTATTAGGATGCCCTCCATGTTCGGCGTATACAAGCGCGTCCGAGAGCACTTGGCTCGTATAGCGGTGGGAGAACTCGAGCAGCTGGTGCAGTACGGCCGGTTGCGCATCTTGAACAGTTGGTGTCGAGGCAAGGAGCAATGCAATTGACCGTGCAGTTGGTGGAAGAGTTTCTGCGACTGTGGATCGCGACATTGGATTGTTGAGCACGGTAGAGTACTTAGAAAGGCCAACGCAAAGTAACGTTCAACATCAACAGTTGAACTTATGAGCTACTTACATAGTGCTGAGCTCGAACCTGTAGAACCAATGTCATAGTGCTTGCACTTTGTATACATAACAAGGGCGTTTAGCTCAGGGGTAGAGCGCTCGCTTTGCATGCGAGAAGCCGTGGGTTCAAATCCCACAATGTCCATTTTTTGGCCCTCTCCACACTCCCTGCTATTTCAGTAAAGTATTCACCAATAACTTTTGAAAAATACTTTTTTGTTTATTCGTCACGGAGGCCACGATGTGGTACTTGTAAGTCGCTGTCGTTGTGCGGTGGTTCTGTTTCTCGGGCTATTATGACCATATTGAGCCTCAACTTTGATGAGATTCCCCAACGCACGTCAGCGGATTTCTGCTCGCCGATACCCCATAGCATGCATTATCAACCTCTTTACCTTACTCCCATCTCCGATGAGTTCTAGCTCGACGTTCCCTTGGACGTCCAGGTCACGAAGAGACTATGTTTCAGTCCTGGATGTCGATTATGTCGACGAAGGGTGAGTACGTCGTTCGAGTTTATGTACAATGCTAACTGACTTGGTGCGGGGCCAGCCATATGAGAGCCTTCGCTGAAGCTCTCAAAGCAGATGAATTCAGCGCTATCGCTGATGATCTTACTAGCCCATCGTCCCCCTTGGTAGGACCTTCGACGCCGTTTAGGCATCATGTGCGCAAGGTGTCTGCGTTATCCGACTTCGCGCCCGTTAACACAAGGGTCAGAAGGTGTGCCGTCTTTCTATCATACACAGTATTATCTGGACATCAACGTGCTGCCTGCCTACAGAAGGAAAAAGATAAATAGTGACCGTTCGGCGGATAGCAGGAGACAGGAATGGCTGTTTGTATTGGTGCGATGGCCATTGTTGGTGCGTGTTATTCATGCCGAGTGAACTTTCAACTCACACAATCCTGCGCATCCCATCAGACCATAATATTCTTCATTATTGCTGCAGAATTTGGATTTTATATTCTCATAAGACAGCTAGTAAATACCAAGGAATGGCTGATTGCATGTGAGTTACTCCCAGCCACAAATTCAGTCTGAGCCATTCTCATGGACCATGGAACAGGGAGGGGTCGTAAAGGCATGTTGAGGAAGCGTCTGCGTGGTGCCAAGACATATCAAGTAAAACTTGTCGTGCTTCTCATGACCTCACAGGACTCACTCACATTTATTTACTCAGGAATGGAAAGACGCAGCTCTGGCTTTGGACGAATACCTACATTTTGACGAATGGAAGACAGTCGACGAAGATTCCTACTACGACTGGAAACTTGTACGCAAGGTAGGTGATTCGTACATTCGTAAGAATCCTCTTTTTCACCTCTTGTGAGCTGTAGGTCTTGAGAACGTTGAAGAGCCTGAGAGCCAAGAATGACGCTCACGGTTTGCTGGGTGTTCTCGAAACGTGTATTAGGACAAATTTTGCCGGTCTTGAGTCTCCCCGGTACGTATTCGTGTCTTATGTTGACCTTAACGCGACATCTAACGCGACACACTAGACTGTATAGCGAGGTAATTGCTTTTCATCCGATAGTGATCAACAGTTCCTGACCTATTCATCTCTCGAAGACGTTCTATGGCACTAAAGATTTAATTGAAGGTACGTTAGTGATGGCCCGCTTGAGGTCACCCTCGCTCACCTCTTCATAGCATACGTTACTGAACAGGAGAGGGCTCTTGAATTCATCCGTAATTCTCCTGATATTTCAAACGAAGAGAAGAAGCGCTTCTTCAAGAACGCTAATACCAATTTGGGGACCACTGCGCTTTGTTTATCAGGGGGTGCAACATTTGGCTACTGTCAGTAATAATGTCCTATCATTAACGCATTGTCTGATTTTGTGCTCTTGTAGATCACTTCGGTGTAGTAAAAGCATTTCTCGATGCTGACCTCTTGCCTCGCGTCATCTCAGGCACCTCTGCTGGAGGACTTGTAGCAGCCTTGGTATGCACCCGCACAGATGAGGAGCTCAAACAGCTTCTTGTTCCTGAGCTTGCCAACCGCATCACCGCATGCGAGGATCCCTTCAAGATCTGGTTCCAGCGCTTCTGGAAGACAGGTGCTCGTTTCGATAGCGTCGAATGGGCCAAGAAAGCAACATTCTTCACTCGAGGTTCTATGACATTTCAGGAGGCATATATGCGCACAGGAAGGATTCTGAATGTGTCGGTTATACCTGCCGATCGTCATTCGTAAGTCGTTCTAAGCATATCAACCATAATGGTGCAATATTTGACGAGACTGCCAGTCCTACGAAACTGTTGAACTACCTGAATGCCCCAGATACAGTCATTTGGAGTGCCTTATTGGCGTCTGCTGCTGTACCTGGTATCTTGAATCCAGTTGTGCTTATGCAGAAGCTGAGGGACGGTAGTCTTGTTCCTTGGAATTGGGGAAGCAAATTCAAGGACGGTTCGCTGCGTGTCGATATCCCTGTCCAGTCCCTGAATCTCTATTTTAATGGTACGTATCCCAAAAATCAAGCTGACTGACCCCTTGCTCATAATTTAAGTAGTTACACATCCGGTCGTTTCTCAAGTCAATCCCCACGTTCATTTATTTTTCTTTGCTCCTCGCGGTTCTGCAGGAAAACCGGTCGCCAGTCGCAAACAGAAAGGTGAGGGTACATTGCAATATATTGTGAACAATAGTTTGACTAAAATTGTATGTAGGCTGGCGTGGCAACTTCTTGCTTTCGGCTGCAGAACAATGGCTAAAACTTGAGCTCACGAAGAACTTCAAGGTAAATTTGTCTTGATCGTGCTTAAGCATCAGTCAACTCATGGTTATTTGTAGGTTATTCGTGACCTTGACTTGTTGCCGACTATCCTTGGTCAGGATTGGTCAAGTGTATTCTTACAACGGTTTGACGGTACTGTCACGTAAGCGAACGTTGTAGTTGCAACCAGTTCACAAAAACTAACTCATTTTGACGCCAGCATCTGGCCACGAACGCGCTTCAAGGTAAGTTAATTATTAAAAAAAAGTCATCGCGACGACCATGATTGCTTAATGCTGTTTAGGATTGGATCAATATTTTGAGTGATCCAGATGTTCCAGAGCTAGACAGAATGATACGTGTTGGCCAGCTAGTTACATGGCCGAAGGTAATACTATGGCGAGAGTTTTTAATTCGAAGTTGACAACAACATTTTATCTAATTTTAGTTGCATATCATCGAAAACCGATATCGCGTCGAGAAGCAGATTTTCTTAGGAAGACGGGCTGTACGTCGCGCTATGCGCACTCGGGTCCAGGAAAGACTGGACAAAGTAACAGAATCTCAACCACAGGGGAAGCTACCCACACCTATCACGGACACAAAGCTAACCGTTCCGCAACTTGCGCTATCACAAAGCACAGACTCTCCGGTACCCATCGACACGGACACAGAGGATGATTACAAAGCGAACCGCGGTGGACGGTCTCCCAGACATCGGTCTCACCGTAATAGTTACACTTCCCAAAGTCCTCATCTGCCAAGGTCCCGTAATGACTCCACCCAAGACGTGCGACGGGCGTTCGCCGCCCGTCGAGTATGGCCTGCACTTCAGCCTGCTAATGGCGATAGCGGAGATGACATTCCACCGGTCGATTACGGACGAGCATCGCCCGATCCACCGCCCGAACGCGACGGGGAGGTTGGAGAGCAACCTGAGCAGCAACAGAGCTCTGCACGCACCGCAAGCCCTGCAGCATTCTTCCAACGCTTGCGAACTGCTTCGTTTTCCCCATTCACATCCATCCGACAGCGTGGTTCGCGTGTGTTCGGTAATGACCCGATGCCAAATGGACATGAGCGAGCTCAGACGTTCGGGCAGAGTAGCGAGAGCTCAAGTGATGACGACGATGACCTGTCGATTTTGTCACGAAGGGTATGGGCAGCGACTGCAGATCGTTCGGATTCTCTGTCACAGGACGAGGATATTGACGATGGAGAGGGTCAGGATGAGAACTACTAATACAGCTAGTGGTAGATCGCCATGATAGCGATACGTATTCCGTACAGTAGTATTTATTCATGGATAAGTCTTTATTTTCTTTAGTAAAGATGTCGCATATTTTATTGTCATACATACCCCTTGTAATAGCAACACGTGGATTTCAATCTCTCGTATCATGTGGATGAGCAATATTCCTGGCTGTTTCGTAATCATTGCTGACGACCTATATACATCAGGCACAAGAACCAACGAGTGGACTGATGGAGATGGGTAGAAAGCAGTCTTTCAAATGACAGTAATTAAGCTTCCGCGAGGGGAGGGTCCCGGTGCTAACTGGATCTAGCTACACAACAAATAATGTCCAGATAGTGCAATAATTACAACGTATGAACCTCTAGTAATTTCATACCACTAGCAATACATTATACATAGCTTAAGAAAAAAGACGTATTAGGTGTATAGTTGGGGGGAAACATGTCTACTTGGTAGGTATCATGAGAACTGTTTCCCTAAGCACTCGCAGCATGTTGAATGTACGTGGAACACCCGTGTATTTAGTGAGCAACCTTCTTGATGATGTCGTAAAATTGCTGGCCTTGCAGACCACCAATTTCGAGTTCGAGTGGAGAAGGTTGGCGGGAGCCATCAGCACCAGCAACGGTACCTGCTCCCCATGGAGAACCTATGCAGAAAACATGAGCAATCAGAGTGTAATAAAAGGAGTAGCTCATGTCTACTTACCTCCGTGCACGGACTCGAAGCTGGTCAGCTGAGGGAACGCCCTGCTATAACCGAATGGAACGTAGAGTATACCGTGGTGGGCAAGTGTAGAGATGGCAGATGAGACCGTGGTTTCCTGTCCACCACCTTGGCTGCCCGTAGACACAAAGACAGATGCATACTTGCCAGCGAGGGCACCCTCCGCCCATAGGCCTCCGGTTGCGTCCCAGAACGACTACAAAACGAATAAATTCATATGGTGGGGTACTCAATAAAACATGGATAAGCGTACCTTCCATTGATAAGGGTAGTTTCCGAAACGCGTGGGGATACCGAGGATGAATGCGTCGAACTTGACGAGATCGTCGGGTTGTATGACTGGATACGCGGGTTTGGGAGGTGCGTGCAGTTGGTCGAGGAGTTCTTGTGAGAGAGTCTCAGGCACCCTGTAACAAAAGAATGAATGGTGAGCGTGC